ATATTGCTCAAATCTCCAGAAGGTCTATTGGTACTCTTAAATTATTTCATCGTTCTCGTCAGCATCTCCCACAACCTATCCGCAGGCTCCTCGTTTCCTCATTGATTTTCCCCTACTTTGACTATGGCTGTGTGGTATACGATGGCCTCTCGTTGGAGCTTGAGGACAGACTGAAGAGAATCATGAACTGTTTTTTAAGATTCGTCTTCGGCACTTCGAGATAGTCTCATGTGTCCCACCTATATGCCGAGTCAAAGTGGCTCTTCCCATCTTCCCGCCGCCTATACTTCCTTGGAAATTTCTTATACCAAACGATCAACTCCCAGCACCCTTCCTATATCTGTTGTCTCCTCCAGCCTAAACCCTTAGTCCACTCAATAAAAACGAGATCCCGTGTTTCTGACCTCTATATTCCATTCCACAGGACAAAACTAACTCTTCTTACCGCTCTCCTGGATCTTTGCCACATAACATCCGTCATGCCTCTTCCCTGTCAACTTTCAAATACCTCCTTTTCCAATATCTCCTTACATCCCAAACAGAAGATTTACCACCATAAATTTCATTTTATGAACTGAATTTGCGTGAAGTAAATAGTGGTGCCTACTGTTTAAGTTTTAACATAAAACAGCAATGATCTTTGTCACCTAGTTTGACTATTATTTTTACTATTTATTTATTTTTCTCTTCTCCTCAGGTTGTGCTTTTTTTTTTCGGGTATATATGTTCATATTTTATATCTTTGTCTTTATGTGTGCCAATATGAGAATGTACGTATAAATAGTTCCTTTTAGTTATTTTTTTTTTTCCGTTACACCACAAGTATCGTAAGACTTTATTTTATCTTAGTGTCTGCATATTATTATATAAACCACTGTAGATATTATTTCATTTTGTATTAAGTTAGTTTTCTATTAGATAGCCTATTGTTTATAAATTGTGTAGTTATGTATATATAAATATGTAATTTCTCTTCTTTTTTTTTTTTCATCACAATTAAGTAATTTTGAGAAGATTTTATGTTCATTTGTATATATATTTTATTTTTTATTTTTTACTGGTTACATACTTTTTAAATAATGTATATAATATTAAAATTTTTATAAGTTAGTTTTTGGCCAGATTTGTACTTTACTTTGTATTAACTCATCATTGTTATTCTAAAGGGACTTAGTCCCAGAATAAAGTTTAATTTTCTATTCTATTCTATTCTATATATATATATATATATATATACTCACTACAAAACGCTACCTTTCCTACATCCTGGAAAACCGCACTAGTTCGCCCTATGAAAAAGACTTCCAACCCATCAACTCTCAATGATTTCCATCCAATTTCTCTCCTCTCAAATCTTTCTAAACCTTTAGAGCGACTAGTTCAAACCCAGGTATCAGATTTTTTTAGAACAGAATAACCTTCTAAATCCCAACCAGTCCGGTTTCCGGCCTGGCTACTCCACTCAGTCTGCCCTCATCAAAATTTCCCGAGACCTTCATACAGCCATGGACCAGCAGAAACTCACCATCCTTATTCTCCTTGACTTCTCCAAAGCCTTTGACTCAGTAGACCACAAAATTCTCCTAACCAAGCTTAAAAATATTTCCTTCTCAACTAGTACCCTTAATTGGTTCCAATCCTTCCTTTCCGACCGCTCCCAGTATGTTGTAGTCCCCAATAACCCCCATCAGAACCTTTACCTTTGTCCAGGGGTGTCCCACAAGGCTCCTCTTTATCTCCCACCCTTTTTTCCATCTACATCAATGACCTTTCATCCTCTATCCTTCACTGTCAATACCATCTGTACGCCGACGACGTCCAGATTTACCTCTCCTTCAATCCAACCGAATCCTCTGGCGCCATCCAAAAATTACAGGATGATATAAATGCAATATGTGCCTGGGCAAATCACAATAGGATTACTCTAAACGCCAATAAGACGAAAGCCATTCTGATCGGATCTCCCTCACTCCTCAAATCCATACAGATACCCAATCTTTTCCTGAACAACTCACCTATCTCATTCCATACTTCCGTAAAAAACCTTGGTGTTACATTCGATCAAACCCTCTCCTGGAAACCACACATCTCCCAAATTTCCCGTCGTACTGTCTCTACCCTGAAACAGTTTAACCGTCTCCGCTATCTCCTTCCATATAAATCCCGTCAACTCCTGGTTTCCTCCCTTGTGTTCCCCCACTTCGACTATGGCTGTCTGGTGTACGGCGGACACTCGGGAGAATTCGAGGCCAGACTTAAACGCCTAATGAACTGCGCAATACGTTTTGTTTTCGGAATCTCAAGAGATACGCATATAACCCAGTATTACACCAAGTTGAAGTGGCTCTATCCATTCAACCGCCGTTTGTACTTCCTTGCCACTTTTCTATACCAAGTCGTCAGAACTCAGCGGCCTTCCTATATTTTTCGCAACCTACAATTCAAATATTCCATTCAATCCCGTCTCACTAGATCTCGTACCTCCGACCTCTATCCACCTCCCCACCGAACTGCAGCGTTTGACAAATCCTTTATAATTCAAGCCGTCTCCTTCTGGAATACCATCCCTCCCGATATCCGACATGTACAATCAGTTTTCTCATTTAAATCTCTCCTTTTTAACCACCTACTCCTTTCCCAATCCGATTGATCATGAAATGTAGATAAGAGAACTTTTAAAGTTCCTCCAGAAATTATTTTCTTTACTTATGCTATTTTATTTTATTATATAGTTTGTATCATACATATCAGAATGTTTTTAGTGTAATAGTTATATTTTTTGTTTTATTATTTTTTTCAAAATCTTAATCTTAATAATAAATGTAAATAATTAATTTTATGTATGGCCACACAAGCATTTATTCTGTAACTGTAATTTGTCCTAATGGGACAACAGTCCCAGGATAATAAAAAAATATTTTCATTTCATTTCATCCTTTCCGTCAAGATGATGGCTCTTGGGTAGCGTCTGAAGAAGACACATATATACATATGTGGCATGACATCCCGTTACCGAGACTGGGCCTCCTCCAAGAGCCTCCGCCAGTTGGCTCTGTCTTCTGTTGCAGCTCTCCAGTTCCGTATGCCAAGCACAGTTCTCGCGTCATAGGCAACGTTGTCGAACCATCTCGTCCTCGGCCTTCCTACCCGTCTTGCGAGGTGCAGCTCCTCCATCATTATTTTCTTGGCTATTTCAACGGTGCTTATTCTGACCACATGCCCTGCCCACCTTAATCTGGCAAGTTTAATATATGTGACTACGTCGATGTCTGTATAAAGAGACCTGAGCTCCCTATTTTTTCTTCTCCTCCAGACATCACCCTCCTTTATTGGACCATAAATCCTTCTGAGGACTCCTCGCTCGAACACACTCAGCTTCATCTCATCACTTTTCGTCATCGTCCAAGCCTCTGAACCATATGTCAAAACAGGCCTTACAAGGGTCTTGTATACAATCAGCATGGTCTTCTTTGAGAGATACGTACTTCTTAAGTGTCGACTAAGTCCAAAGACACATCTATTGGCAGCCGTGATCCTTCTCTGTATTTCTTGAGCCATGTCATTTTTGCTATTTATTTCAGACCCAAGGTATATAAAACAAACTTAAAAGAGCCTACCTCAAATGGAGAGTTCAGATCCACCTCACCACCAACTCTCATATACTTAGTTTTCCTCTCACTGAATCCTAGACCAAGTCGTCTTGCAGCTGCTTCAAGGGCTATAAACACTTCTCTGAGAGCCCGTTCAGACCGTCCCATTATGTCATCCTTCCAATCCAAAGTCCTTCGAACAATAGTCGATGCTCCTTTCTATGTAACCAGCAAAACCCTACACCATGTCCTTAATATCCCATTTGTCCTAGACCTTATCCCAGCAAAATTCTCCAAATTTCACCAGAACCTTACCCATCATCCAAATCCCTTTGTAAAATCCCTATCCAGCACCATCCATCCCTATAATCCTCCAAGAAGGTTAAAACGGCAGTGGCCCCGCGACCTTTTATAGTTTATAAATATTGGAGTTCTGGCAATGGCCAGATTCTCCACTCACGACATGAGTGTATGTCGCTAAAGCACTTTTGCTCAATTTCCACTGGGTTAGCTCCAGTGACGCGGTTGAGAGAGAAGTGCAGGGATATCCTGGATTCATACTTTTCCCTCCACAGTTGGAGGGACAAGTCTGGTTTGGAGTTCTCTCAGCAGATTGTAAGTATTGTATATAGGTATATATGTGTTCTTTTTATTTTTTTATTTTTATGTTATTTTATTCTTATTTATTATATATATTTTTCTGTATAATTTATTTTATTTATTGTACATAGAGTGTGAATGTGATCTCTGAGCACCATTATAAATGTCCTTGAGACAGATTGTAATATATTTCAATAAATAAGATTTTAAAAAAAGTTATAAATATTTTTTTAAAATTATTTTAAAGTTTTAATCAAATAATGTCGATTTTTCTCAAAGACTCTCGGACTACAAAGGAATTTTATGTTACTCTTTAAGCGCAAAGTATTAAATTATATCGAATTTCTTAACCATCGATTTATAGCTCTCTTCTCAAATATCATGGTGTTTTTCTTTTCCGTTTATGATTCAAAGAGATTACCAAATGTGCAACTGCCGCGGCTGTTTTAATGACCTTATGTACCAAACTGAAGTTGCCTAAATCGCTTTAGTCGCATGCTACACAAATGTACGACAAAGCGCATGCGATGTGGGGCAACAAATTTCGCATGTGACGTTAACTGAATTTTGTGCCACACAGTCGGACGGCTACAATAGGTAACACTAAGAAACAAGTATCAAGCAACATGTCGTTCAGTGTTGCCTCAGTGGAATTCTTTAGGTTATAGTCTCTGGTATCAGTTAAAGTGTTTCAATCTAATTTAAATTTTGCTTGAGTGTGTAGAATTGTCTGGTGGTGACAAATGTAAACTGCCAAGACAATTGGGCCGGTGAAAGTGTGATTGAATGAAAAATAGTTTCCGGATCATTTCAGGTAAAAATAGGTAAGGATCTAGATAGGATTATAGGAGAGCCTCCATCTCCAGCTATTAGCTTCGCCCATCTCCCACCACCAGTCCACCTTTCAAGTTCGGGCCACTGATAATTAAATCAATTAAACGTCACATATTTACAGCATAATGATTGCTAATTTTTATTTATTTATCTGTTTCCCTGTATTCTGTAAAATGGGACAAAAAGACGATCTTTCTCAATTGAGTTTAGAAGAACCATACCATATCAACAAAGACAGAAATTTTTTCTTTAAAGAAATCATTAGAGCACATAATATATACTATTTTCAGTTTTCAAGATACACAAAATTATATTGTTTAGCAGTTTGATGCACTCAACCAACGAATATCAAACCTAAAAATAGAGCTGTAGAATTTAAAAAGTACTTCATATGAAATAAAATTGAATCATCAAATATTCAAAGCTGAAGCAATTAAGAAAAAAAATAGAAGTTAAAGGAAGGCGAAAATTTAAAAGATTTATGCTTCAAATTACTTAGTTTTTTGGAAACAGATGTGAGTGTATAGGACGATTTCTATAGATTAAGGAAAAAAGAATGACACATATATCATTGTACTTCGGTTTCTAATGTTACTGGATAGAGACTAATTTTTGTCACAAGTAAGAACAAACAGAGATAAGCTTTATCTATAATCTCTGGGCTATCCTGAATCTTCCCAGAAAAGAGATTACAAAATATTTATCAAAGAATCTCTGACAAATGAGAACCGGATTTGATTTGCTAAAGCAAGGTCAATACATAGAGAAGGACATTTTAAATCCTTATGACACAGAAATGGAAAAATCTATGTTAGATATCTGGAAGGCTCTACCAAGTATACATCTAAAGCGAATCGGACTTATTTTTGTTGAAAACACCAAACATCAATCTTATGATACCGATTATGAAGAATTTATTAGAAATGAATATATAAACGAGAAGAAGCGTTCTTTCCCGTCATCTCACGAAAATTCACCCAACCCGCGTACAACTCGAAATAAAAAATCTAAATGGAAACAACTTTCATCTTGGCCACAATCACTGGCTAAACAATGTAGAACCGAAACCGTTTCTAATAGTCAAAATCAAAGCACAATTTTTTTCTAGAACGAAGATGGATACAAGAACTTCAGTGAAGATAATAGACGTTTTAATTCACCAAGTATAATTTGCCTCTGCGAAACGCACTTACTCAAAAGACCCCCAGCGCTCTCGGATTTCAGTTTTATTACATCCAATGCCATCAGGGAGAAGAGTCGAGGCAGAGGCAGTGGAGGTCTGATTATATTTCGTAATAAGAATGTTTACACTATAGATGTGTTAGATATAAGTGAATATTAGATCTCTGTCCATGTTAAAGAAACTCATGGAATTAATGCATTTATCATAATTTTAGTTTATTTTAAGCGGTATCTGATTATAGGTCTTGTTTTGGAATTATTTGAACCCACTCTTACTAAATTAAAAACTAAATATTCTCATAATTTGTCTTGGGGATTTTAATTCTAGGATAGCTGATTTGAATAAGGATCATTTTGAGGCTTTTAATGGTTCTAATTTATCCCATATTCGAAGAAGCTTGTATATTGTTGAAAATAAAAAGGGGGAAACATTAGTTGAATTCATGGAGAATAATTTTTATCTTCTTCTAAATGGTAGATCTGTTAGTGATAACCCCGGTCAGTACACTGATATTACCGCAAATGGAAAAAGTGTAGTTGATATGGTGTGGAGCAATTACAGTCATATGAATTTAATAGCCGATCTAAAAATAAAGCATGTAGTTTCTGGTTCAAAAAACTTCCCTAGAGTGTTAGAAACAACGCTCCTTATTTTTTCCTAATGATACCCTCAATACTTCATTAAATAAACCAAATCACCGTTATACTCCAGTCAAATGGGATAACTCGAAAAATTTAATATACCATCAAATAATTTTGAATTCTCCTCGAGTAGGTTCGCAGGTAAACTCTGAATCCATTGAAATGATTCAAAATAACCTATTCTTAGCTATACAGGAGACTTCGTACTTATTAGGTTTATTTTAAAGAAAATTAAATTTCATAACAGATATGATAAAAGCCTTGGTTCGACCTTGAATGTGTATTGGTTGAAAAAAATGTTAAGTCCGAATTAAAATTAATGGTGAAAATCGTTATCATAATAATTCTATTGATAATTATTTTCCCGCAAAATAAAAATTTAAAATTTTAATTAAGTGGAAGCGGTATGAATTTCAGCGTGGTGTAATGGATGATTTCGAAAGGCTGTGATTCCAAAACATTTTGGGGAGCAATAAATAGATTTAGAAACAGAAAACCCCAGCCAGTTCCAATTAACCCTGTTATCACTTATCACTTGTGTACACCCCCTCCCCCCCCCACCCGCGGGTAGACTGCGATGTACTATATTAAGGAGTTCTCCGTCATCTTCTGGATTCGGAAATTAGTCTTGAGAACCTTAAAGCCTATTAAATGAAATGTAAAAACGGTAAAAGCCCTGGCAGAGACGGTTTAAGTTACGGATTTTATAAGAACTGACCCATTAAGTGGTAATTATACCGTTTGAATTTATATAACAGAATATTTTATAGCACCTCCTGGCAAAGACAGCTGGAAACCAGATTTAGTGGATTGCTGGTAGTAGTAGTAATGGAATGTAAATATTAAACAAGGAGATTTAATTATATGAAGACTTCATTTGAATATTGTTTTAGTACGTTAAATTAGTACGTGGTGAATCTTGATAATCTTATGGTACATAGTTGGGCCGGTCATACGACAAGAATGGCCGAGATACCAAAAAAAAAACGTATAGCAGACGTCCTACAAAAGACCCGAGGAGTTTGAAGACCAGAAGCAAGATGGCTGGATTGAGTTGCAGCAGGGCTTCTTGACACTCAATGGACGAACTAGAACTTTAATAGGGTGAGTAGTGATTTTAAAAAATAAATAAATAATAACTGGTCCTCCATGTTCACTTTATTCATAGGGTCATAGCCCGATGTATATTTTTGAGCTGAGAACTCACAATGCATTCCCCGTTTTAATGTCAACCCTTCCATAGTGAATAAAAAAAAAAAGAAAATAAACGAAATAGCAGAAACGTTTAATGCATTAACCAGTGTATTTATATTTCCATAATATAAACATGCCAAATGAAAGCAGCTTCGTTTTAAATGCCTATAGCATTTTATAGCTATTTTCAGCGATTCAAATTCAGCAGCAAAAAAATATAAGTAGCAAAACAAAAATTTACCAATATAAGACTAACGGAAGCATTTTTAATAGTCTTGAAGCAAATTACATTGATTATACATTATTAATTTTTTAAGAGATATATTTAGACTTATATCTGTTTTAGTTTTATAGGTAAAAATTCCGTTATACAAATAATATAAATATAAAGCGATTGAAATTGAGAAATACACAAATTCTATTCTACAATAAATGAAGCAGTAAAATATTCTACTACTCTACTATAGATAAGTGCATCAACCTGGCTCTTATCTCTGGCTAACTTGTAGCTTCCATATTTTATGTATCGAAATCATCACACATTATGCAGTGCTAAGTATCTAATGTATGTTATCATCAAAATCTGTGAATCGACTCATTCTCCTATTTCTATTATACATTCAACTCCACCATGTTTTGGGAAAACACACTATTCTAGAATAATGATATTCAATATTGATAGATCAAATAAAAAATGAGTGCATTATTTAAAAAATGGGTTCTATCTGTATTTAGAATTATAGTTATAAACTTTTTTCTTTCATTAAATAAGTATGCGTTTGACTAATGTCAAAAGATTTAATCTAGCAAAAAAAAAAAAAAAATCAGTTTAGATATTGATTTTCGATCTATAAGTAGCTAAACAGATAAAAACCGAATTAATTTTGCTGGCGGTAAAGTGATAAAAAATATTTAAATGAATAATTTGATATAGATTAATTTGAAGACTCACAGATGAGGTCTGAATGGCTATACCATTAGGTTCAGATAGTGGCCTATTGACGAGAGCAGTCTCCTTGAGGTGGTAGGCTGACGATGCAGTTGCAGCTCCTTTGTGCGGGGCAGTCGCGTCCAGCAATACTTTGAGCGACGCGATAGCATGTAATTGAGTTGCTTTTTCGTCAACCTTCCCTGCAACATAACATTAATTCCATTTATTCTTTGATAAATATTTCATGAATGTAGATTGAGTAGACACTGGCACTTTTTTGCAATACTGGAACTTTTTTAAATATTAGATTAAAAGCTTTGATAGGAAAGCGTTAGTAATAAATCACATTACGATTTGAAAACTTGAAAGAAAAAGAAGAGACATTACATTACTTGAACAACAAGAAAATTCTCTTGTCTTAAGTAAATATAATATGTACCTGAGATGGATGTTATTACTGTCGTTCGCATTCAACTATATTTATTAATTAATCATTGCGTTTTTACTTATGTTTTTGATGGAGGGGGAGACAGTGGATTTTTATGTAGCACAAAATGCTATTGGAAACAACCTATTTTAAAAGTATTTCAGAGACTGTAAGAGGAAGAAAGTCCATCTAATTTTTAAAGTTGCCTGGTTTTGATATAAGAAACATCCATAGCAAGAACTGAAATGCAATTTAATGGACAGCTAGCCAACACAACAGAGTTAGCACTGCTGTTGTAAATTCATTAAATGCTGCAAATAAAAGTGCTTTCACACCCCAAATGACTTGGCCTTGTTTGTGTCTATAAAAGAGCCATTGCTAAGTGGTGGTTGGGGGTGACAATCCCATTAAGAATATATATCTTACATTGAATAATAATAATAATCAAGGAGCTTGAACACAATAAGTTATATAAATATCTGGGCATGCAATAACATCTTAAAATTGCAAGAAAAGGCATGCAACAAGACCTTCTGACAATGTTCATAATTAGATTACGGAAAGTGCTCAAAACCCAGCTGACTGGGAAACAAAAAATCAAGGCTATTAACACCTAGGCAATACCTGCTCTCGGTTATAGTTTCGGCATATTGCACTGGTCAAACACCAGCCTACAGGAGATCGACCACCTTGTGCGAACGACTCTCATACAAGAACGGGCCCGCCACCCAATATCCTCCAAAGCTCGTCTGTATTTACCTACGAAAGAAGGAGGAAGTGGTTTGCTAAATATCAAAGAAGCTTGCCGCAAGAAGGAAGTGGCCCTACGTCGATACTTTCTTACAAAAACAACTGAGGTTTACCTCGCAATCTCAAGATTGGATTATGGTCTAAGCGCGCTTAACCTAAGCAATCGTGAGGTCTCTACAATCGTGCCAGAAAATGAACGGTTGACAGAATGGAAAAACAAATCTGTGCATGGAAGATTCTACAGCAAATTGAATGATAGCTCCATTGACAAGAAAATATCCATTGAATGGTTGAAAGATGGAAAGATATTCTCCGAGACAGAAGGATTTCTATTCACCATCCAAGACTACGCTATTGCTACTCGATCATATAGAAGGCATGTTCTAAAAGACGCAACAACTACGGATAAATGTCGATTATGTTCAGCGACGCTGGAATCAATCCAACATGTCACAGGTGGGTATGGAGTGTTGGCTGGCACCGAGTATCTCTAGAGGCATAACAATGTGGCTAGAATATTTCATCAGGCTCTGGCGGTGAAGCTCAACTTGTTAGATGACAAAACTCCATGTCATAAGTACCAGACAAATAAACTACTCCAAAAAGGTAGTCTCAAGCTCTACTGGGATGAATTGATTATAACTGACCATACTGTGCGTCACAATAAACCAGATATCCTTCTGAAAGGTATGAGAGAGAAAAGAGCAGGGCTTATCGATGTCGGGATAATGATATGATAATAACATAAGCTCCACTGTTGGAGAAAAAGTGAGAAAATACCAAGCACCTAGAATAGACCCTAGATATCTAAATTTCCCTACCTGTTCAAACATATTACCATCTATATCGATATCACCAGTATCACCATTTTTGCAGCTAACCATATATTTTGTTTTATACGCGTTTATTTCGAGCCTTAGTTCTTTACCGGCTTTCATTAACGTTGTCGTATTTAGTTTTATAATTTAATAGTTTTCACGCCGTTTAAGAGTACTAGATTATCAGCATAGCCTAGCACGGTTTTTATCCCACCAAGATCCAACCCTTTTTCGGTACGCATTACCTCCCTAATGGCCTGTTCTAATGCCAAATTGAACAGGACAGGCGAAACGGAATCTCCCTATTTTAAGCCCGAACGAACCTCAAATTTTTCGGACACATTATTACCGATTCTAACTTTATTGAGTGTTTCCGTCAAGCACATCCTGACTAGATTTACTAGTTTTTTTGTATACCCTTGCTCGATTAGAATATTATACAGTTTCTTGCGGTCAATAGAATCGTAAGCCTTTTTGAAATCGATATACAGCTGGTGAACAATACCGTTGTACTATAATTTTTTCTTTAATATTTGTCGTAAAGAAAATATTTGATCAATAGTCGAACGATTCCGTCTAAATCCGCATTGGTAGTCTCCAATAATTTCCTCGGCGTATTCCGTGATTCTACTGGTTAAGATTAAAGTGAATATTTTATAACATACCGGAAGGAGTGAAATTCCTTGATAGTTCTTACAATCCATCCTCGGGCTCTTTTTTTGAATCGGAATAAGAATAGATTCTTTCCATTCTTCAGGTAATTTCTCATTCTCCCAGATCATTTTAACCAACCGATGTATTTGAGAAACTCCAGCATGCTTTAATTAGTTCAGTAGGAATGTTATCAGTTCCCGCTACTTTATGAGATTTTAATTTTCCGATAGTTACTTCAACTTCCTCTTTACTTGGTGCTTCTATTAACGGTCCAGCACTCTGGTACTCAGAAGGAGGACACAGATCATAATTTCTCGTATTTAAAATATTGTTAAAGTGGTTCTTAAACTTATTTAATGCGTCAATCAGATTGGTCAGAATATTGTTATATTCTACTCCGCGATAAGACCTACATTAATTATACTGCTTCGCCAGCTATGTTGTATCAAGACATGATCGATTTGATTTCTTGTTTGCGAATCCGGTGATGTCCAAGTATATTTATAAATATCTTCATGTCCAAACATAGTAATTTTAATTATCAGAAATGGCGAAATTTATCAGACGGATCCCTTTATCATTACTATATTCGTGCAAACTTTCTTTAGCAATCTTCCGAGCATTGCATTCGCGTCGCCTACAATTATTTGTGTAGAGTTCTGCGGTAACTTATCATAAACCCACTCGAGTTTATCGTAAAGTTCACATTTTCCTTCATCGTCACTGTCTTCGGTCGGACAATAAATGTTTATTATTTTTAATAGAGCCCTCCCCTGGCTAGTGAACCTCTTGCAAAGCCACGACATCCAAATTGTACCCATTAACTTCATTCGCGACCTATTTTAACCTCCCTGCTGCGTTTAAACTCCTTACGTTACACGTGCCAACATTTTAATAATACTTCTTTATTGAGATATATTACAATCTGTCACATTCGAGAACAATGGTAATAGTGATAAAAAAGAGTAGCTCATTCATACTATACACAATAAATAAAAGTAACAAACATCAATAAAATAATACTAAACGAAAATGTATATAAACTAAAAGATACTAAACTGAACAAAAATTAACTAATCTAACAAAATAAATACTTAAAAACTTTTTCAAATTCATTCTCTTAAGATCTCCGAGCCAAGCCTTTCCCCACACTCTTGGAGGGAAAGGCAGAACTCTAGGAGATCCCAGTGTCTTTCACTCAGCCGCATCACTGTTATTACCAATGGAGGCTGAGCAGAGACACCATGACCAGACATACATGGCTTGAGTGGAGAATCTGGCCGTTACGAGAACTCCAATATATTCTTACATAATGTCTCTGGGTCACTGCCGCTTCAACCTTCGAGGATTGTAAGGATGGGTGGTGCTGGACTGAAATTGTGCAAGGGGATTTGGATGATAGGCAAGGTTCTGGTGAAATTTGGAGAACTTTTCTGGGATAAGGTGTAGAACAAATGGGATATTAAGGTCATGGTTTAGGGTTTTGTTAGTTACATCGAATGGAGCATCAACTATTGTTCGAAGGACTTTAAACTGAAAGATTTGGATGCGTTTGAAAATTTTGCTGTCCCCCACAGTTCAAGTCCGCCAGTTATTGCACCAGTGCTCAAACAAGGTGAGGTGCCTTTGGAGATTTAAGGATGCTATTTCGAGATCAGAGTTAGATGTTAAGATTGCGGTGTCGTCGGCGAATGTTGCAAGAAAAGTATCGGGATGAACAGGGATGTCAGCAGTAAAGAGGATGCAAAGCACGGGACCCAAGACGCTGCCTTGGGGAACACCGGCTTTAACAGAGTAGATATTGGAAAATTCTGTTCCACAGCGAACTCGAAAGGAACGGTCAGAGAGGTAGGATCGGAGGACTAGGTACAAGGACTGAGGTACATGGATTTTAAGCTTGAAGAGCAGTCCGAAGTGACATACCCGGTCAAATGCCTGTGCAATGCCTAGAAAGGCACCCGAACAGTATTCCTTGTTTTCTAGGGCTGAGGAAATATGATCAACAACTCGGAGTCCTTGTTGAACATTAGAATGTTGAGAACGAAAACCAAACTGATGGGAAGGAATATTTTGGGATTCTATAATGGGTAGGATTCGTTTCAAAAGGATCTTTTCAAAAATGTTTGAAAGGATTGGGAGTAGGCTAATTGGTCTATAGGATGTTGAGCTATTGGGAGGTTTGCCTGGTTTTGGGATAAGGATAATAGTGGAGTGTTTCCATAACAGAGGAATGTGGGTGATGCGTAGGATACAATTGTAAATATATGTAAGGAATATGATTGCTTTGGATGGAAGTTGTCGAAGAATTTGAGGGGTATCATCATGTCCAGGAGCTTTACGGGAGATTAGTTATTTTAATTGAAATTTCACTTCAGTAGGATGAATAGCTTTAGGAGGCAAGGAAAGTGGGATTGCTGATGTAAGGAGTTCTTCTACTGTAACGGTGTGGGTAGGGTGGAATTCCGGATGTGAAATAAATGCACTGGATAGGTGAATGGCGAACTCCTCAGAATTATCTTCGTCAGATGCTGCCCAGGAGCCGTCTTCTCGTCGGAATGGATGGGAAATTTGGTGAGAATTTCCCATTTTTGTTGTGGTTTTCCAAAGAGAATTATTAAGAACAGAGAGGGAGGATAGGTAGGAATTAAAGGATTGTGGTCAGAAGGTGGCTAATTCCAGTGTTAATTGTTTGCAGTAATAATTATAGGAGCCGCGGCCGGTGGGATTTCGAGTTCGTTGCTGCAATAATCTGGTTCGGCGTTTGGTGTGGATTAGGTCAAGGAGGTGTTGGGGTAGAATGGTCTTGTTAGGAATTCGGGAG